GGCGGCGGAGGAGGAGGAGGAGGAGGACGAGGAGAAGGAAGAAGACAAAGTACAAGACGAGAAGGAGCAAGAGGAGGAGGAAAAATGACAAGGAGGAGGTGTAGGAGGAGGTGTAGGAGGAGGAGGAGGAGGACGAGGAGGAGGAGGAGAAGAAAGAAGACGAAGTAGAAGACGAGGAGGAGGAAGAGAAGGAGGAGGAGGAAAAATGTCAAGAACGAGGAGGAGGAGGAGGAGGAGGAGGAGGAGGAAGAAGAAGATGTAGACAACGAGGAGGAGGAGGAGGAGGACCAAGACGAGGAACTGAAGGAAGAGGAGAGAGAGGAGGATGACTTGGAAGAGACGCAGAAAAAGGAGAGGAGGAGGAAAGGAGGGAGGAGGCGGATAGGGAGGAGGAGGAGAAATGGGGGGAAGGGCGCCAAGTCAGGGGAGTGGGAGGCCGACTGTGTCGCGTCAACCCCTCTCACCCGCCGCCAACTTCATCGCAACAGCCCCCCCCCCTGCCTTTTCAGTTTTTTTTAATCATTCTTCATTAAAAAAAATAAAATTGGTTGATTGATTACGAATCGAATCGATTAATTCAATCAATCAATCAATCGACGAAAAAAAAAAAAAAAAAAAGTTATCCAATCGAATCAATCGATTCGATTGGATCTTGATTCAAAATGAAGACAGAATCGAATCGATTGATTCGATTGGATAACCTTTTGCCTTTTTTTTTTCGTCGATTGATTGATTGATTGATTGATTGATTGATTGATTGATTGATTGATCTAATTGAACCGATTGATTCCATTGGTTCTTGATTTGGAAATCAGGATCCAATGAAATTGATTGATTCGATTGGATAATCGGATCATAATCCGATTTTTATTTTTTTTATTTTTTATTTTTTATTTTTTATTTTTAAGGGAAAAAAAAAAGGTATAAGGGCGAATGCCTAATGGATTCCGGTACGAGGAGGAGGAAAGGGCCGACGAGGAGGAGGAGGGGCAGGCGGAGGAGGAACACGAGGAGGAGGAGGAATGGTGATGATGATGAGGTGGACGCGGGGGAGGAGGCGGAGGAGGAGGAGGAGGAGGAGGAGGAGGAGGAAGGAGATGCAGAGGACGAGGAGGAGGAGCAGGAGGAGGAGGGGCAAAAAGAAGATGTAGAAGACGAGGAGGAGGAGGGGAAGGAGGAGGAGGAGAATGAGAAGGAGGAGGAGAGAGAGGAGGACGACGTAGAAGAGGCGGAGGACGAGGAGGAACGAGGACGAGGAGGAGGAGGAGGAAGATAAGATGTAGAAGACGAGGAGGAGGAGGAGGAGGAGGAGAAGATGATGACGAGGAGGAAATGGAGGACAACCAAGGAGAGGAGGAGGAGAAGGAGGAGGAGAGAGAGGAGGACGACACATAAGAGGGGGAGGACGAGGAGAGGAGGAGGAAGGATGCGGACAGGGAGGAGGGGGGCAATGGAGCCGCCGTGTCTAACAAATCGTTGTAGCTAGAATGGGGGGCGGATAAATGATCGTTAACCATAATGTTGGTGGTTGCCGATCTATGCATTATGGAAACCCATTCCCTAAAAGATTCCCCAAAGTTCATCTTCTGTAGAGAGCAGTCCAGAAAGTCCAAGTCCACATGGTGGTATGCCTTTTCAAAGTCTATGAACAAGATTGTTGTCTCTCTCTTACATTGCCTCGCGTACTTAATAGTTTGTTTGACTAGCAAGACATTATCTTGAATATTTTTTTGTGGCATAAATCCTGTCTGGTCTAAATGGATGAGGTGGACCATGTATGGAAACAACCTATTTTTGAGGGCTTTGGAGACGATCTTATAGGGGAGGGAAAGAAGCATAATTTGCCTATAGTTTCAAAAATCTGTCTTATCCTCTTTCTTGTATAGCAAGGTGGCGACCCCTTGGCGTATTAGACCACCGAAGGATCCTTCCTCTCTTACGACTTCGATGTATTATGTAATACTGGTCTTGAAGACTTCCCAGTATTGAAACCAGAACTCCTTTGGAAAATAGTTCAGGCCGAGAGTCTTCTCATCCTCCATCCCTTGCAATGCCTTCAGTAGTTTGTCGGTGGAGACAGGGGTCTCCACCGACATTCTTTGTTGGCTTGATAACATAGTTGGAAGATGCTGAAGCATAAGGGTGCAGACACTCGTGAGTTGCTCATTCCCCCATTAGGAGGATTCTGAGGTGTAAAGTTTTTGGTAGAATTGGGCTACATAATTCATAATGGTGTAGGCATTAGTAGCGTTAGGGAGGGTCAGGTTAAAAAAGTGTTTCAATGTGGCAATTGTTGTTGCTCGTACTCTAGCCCTGGCGTTTTTGAAGAACGCCCTGGCCATTGTCCCCTCCGTTTCATGTCGCAGTATTCTTGCTTGCACTCTCCAATGTCTCCATGCCTCAGCCCAATGGTCCAGAAAGGTCTGCAAATGGTCCCTTGCTGTCTGTAGTTTATTGAAAGTCTCGTCATCCAAGGAATCTGTTTGGAGTTTTTCATCCCAGTCCTCCAGATTTTTCAAGAGTTTGTCCAATATGGCTTTGTGATCCCTGACATGGTTAATTGAGATATTTTTTATCATGTCCCTCAGTTGTGCAATACCATTACGTTGGGTAGCCCAGACCCCCTTTCTATTTAATTAAGAAGGATATGCCCAACACTATTCCTCTGTGGTCGAAGGACTTGCGATGGTCTTGATATTTATTACCGATAATGTGTCAATGAGGTCCTCCGAGATGAGGATAAGATCGATTCGAGAGTTAGATGTGTTCGCAACCCCTCTTGCGTGGACACATGTGTCCGCTCTTTTATTAAGGTGGAGCGTTATGTAGGAATTCTTGAGCTGCAATGCTGCCCTGAATCTTGGCAGCATTTCCTCATCCGGGTCCGGGGTATATTGTGAGGTGTTCCTCATCTCCCACTGCGAAAAGGATCGTCTATCCAATATCGGATCCGATGTTATATTAAAATCCCCAGCGATAATCAGCGGTGGATCCAAGGGGAGCTCTTGGTAAAGACGATGCAGAAACTGAACGAGGTCTACGGGTTCATTCGGGCCATACACACTAACAATGCCTACCTCCTCTTCGCTTATTGTTACTTTGACGTACACCCACCTACCGTCTTGCTTATCATACTCATGTGTCGTGGGGATGACCCGTGAGGAGGGAGGTATCCAGATGGCCCCTCCCGTCGAAGTTCCGGATCTGGCCGGTGCTGAGAATGATGTGTACGACCATACCCACTTTTCCTTTGCCTCATGCACAGGGGAGTGTGTAACGTGTGTCACCTGCACACATATGACATCCACCCAATTACCTGCTTTGTCCCTCTTCATCATTCGCCAGATGGCATCACGTTTTCCTGGTGACGCTTGTACTAAGCCGTTCACATTTAGTGCTCTAATATCTAAGTCGGCTTGATTGAGCTTTTTTACCCAGTCGGGGGATCTCCTAAGGGTGGGTGAGACCTTTGGGGAAAGAGGGGGAGCGGGTGGAGGGGGAGATGAGGGAGGTTGATACGGAATGCAGTCCATTTGTGAACCCATGATGTTTATTTCTAAGTTGTTTTTCGGATATCTGGATGGCCCTGGACCATCCGTATCATCTCGTCGGAAAATGATTCCCGGAGGAACCTAGAAATTACCCTTTCGGGACCTGCGCAAAATAGGCGCAAGTGTTTTTTGCGGTTTTCAAAGGTCCGCAAGGGTTTCGATCGACCCTTAGAACCCTGTCCCGGGGTTGGATCCGGTAAGGGCCCTACCGGATTCGAAATACTAATGGCCCGATCTGGACTGTCCATCGACTAACATCGACGTCCCATATCGGGCCAATCTTTGAATTCGAATTTGCGCCAGCCACTTTCGAACTGAGCACATGGTAGTGGCCCGCCCCCATTGTTCTTCCCCAACAACAGCCCACTGCCCCGTCGCGATGGTGCCTGCTGATCGTCCCCGCCCTCTATGCATGTGTTGAGCCTGTCGGTGATGACGGCTTGCTGCCCCGCTCTTGAGCTGTTGGAGCCATCGCTGCCGTTGCTGGAGCCTTCGCTGGGAGAGTCGTCCTCCTGCTCCATTGTCATCGAGGTGAGTTTTCGGTCGTTCTCCCTCTTCAGCCGCCTCCAGCACCTCCTCCTCCTCCTCTTCCTCCTCCTCCTTGTCTTCGCTCTCCTCCTCCACCTCTATCATCTTCTTCTTCATCCTCCTCGCCCTCCTCTTCCTCTTCCTCCTCCTCCTCTTCTAGTTCTTCTTCCTTTTCCTCCCCGTTCTTTTCCTCCTCCTCCTCTCCCTCGTCCTCCTCCTCCTCCTCCTCTTCCTCCTCCGCCTCCTCCTCCTCCTCGTCCTGGTCATCCTTCATCCTCCTCGTCCTCTTCCTCGTGCTCCTCTTGTAGTTCTTCTTCTTCTTCCTCCTCCTCCTCTTGTAGTTCTTCTTCTTCTTCCTCCTTTTGTAGTTCTTCTTCTACTTCCTCCTCCTCCTCGATTGCTACATGCCAAGGAGTTGTCGACGTATCTAGCCTGCACAGTTGCTCTGTGCTCTTCTACACTGCACACGTTGTATATATAAAAGGAGGAGGAGGAGGTGGAGGAACAGGAGGACGAGGGGGAAGAGGCGGCGGCAGCGGAGGAGGAGGAGGAGAAGGAGGTCCGGGGAGGAGGAGGAGGAGAAGGAAGAAGACAAAGTAGAAGACGAGGAGGAGGAAGAGGATGAGGAAAAATGACGAGGAGGTGTAGGAGGAGGAGGAGGAGGAGGAGGAGGACAAGGAAGAAGACGAAGTAGAAGACGAGGAGGACAACAGAAAAAATGTGGCAATTTTTTTGCCACGTTGAACCTATGTTGACACCACATTTCAACTGTTTATAAACCGTTGGCCGGGGGGGGGGGCATGTGTTCAACACAAACTGAAGGAAACCAACACTGACCGTTTATTGGGGACACTGAAACTTGTGTGTTCAACTGTTGGATCAACTGTTGACAGACAGTTGGTCCAACTGTTGATCCATTGTTGGTAGCTTGTTGAAATCTTGTTGAAGAGTTGTTGAAATGCTGTTGAAACCTTGTTGAAATGTGTTGAAACGTGTTGAAAGTGTGTTGGAATGTGTTGAAATGTTTTGGACCGTGTTGAAACAGGGTATTGGACCGTGCGCAATAGCAGTTTCGGTTATGGGTCATTTGCGTTGTCCGGGGGTGGGTTGTAGCTGTGTTTTCCTCGTTTAAGGATTGAGCACGTTTTGGAGTACGAAGATCACATGGGCGAGCGTTGGGTTTGCGCGCGCCGACCAGGCACGTGATGATTGCAGTGACTGATGAAATTGAGGGATCAGAGACTGATGATCAGAGAGAGAGAGAGAGAGAGAGAGAGAGAGAGAGAGAGAGAGAGAGAGAGAGAGAGAGAGAGAGAGAGA